AGATTATATGGCATATTTACTATATTTTAATATCCTTGTCTGCTAATTCCAACATTCATGTTATTTGCAGGTCTATTTTTGTTAACTCCTTTTTTATTGACATTTTACAGTTTGTTCATATGTCTAGTAATTTTGATTGCATAGTAGACCTTGTGGATAATAGTGCAGTAACTCTGGATTATGTTACATTCTTCTGAAGAATATTGAGTGCTGTTAATTTGTGGATCACCTTGAATGTAGGGGTTTGTTTTTATGCCTTGTTAGGACAGGGCTATTTCAGCTTTATCCTTAGTCTTGAGAGAATCTTTTTAGTAAAGAGATGTAGTTGTCATTTCTAATGCATGGTACTTCTGGGGATTTGATGGAAAGCCTTGGGAATTTAACATGCTTTTATAACTTGGTGTAACTCAAACTTTAAAGTCTTTTTCTAAAGTCACTTGTGGTAAGTAACAGCTAGAATTGCCACTTAGTTATTTTAGCCTTCTGACTTGTTTTCTCTCTGAACTCCTTGCAGTCATACCTGCATGTGAATAGTGTAGTCATTGGTCTAGGATTTGACTGGTATTTACATACAAATTTGTATCACCCACTTTTGTTCCCTCCTTTCTGGGATCTCCCTTCTTAATTTCCAGCTACTCTGGTAGTTCCAAATTAGTTCCAAATTCATTCTGCCCATTCTTCAGCAGATTAGACTGTGTGTTTCTGCTTGAGTTTTATCCTCGCTGTTTCTTGTAGAATTGGAAATGTCCTCAGGCAAAAAACTATACAAATATAAATATCAGCTATTTTCAAGGGTAAGGTCTTTTCTGTCCCATTTTAGGTCAAATCCCTGGCTTTGCTGTCGGCTTTGTTTGTTTTACAGTGCCCTCAAGCAGAATTTATTATTGTTGTTGCTAGAAAGTTAGGTCAAAATAAGTTACCCTTCTATAATAAAAGTGGACCCTACATAAAGAATTGATTATAATCCATTTATATTTTGCCAAGATGTATCAAGATTTACTTCAAAATCCAGGAGAAATGTGACTGCTTTGTTAGAAAAAGTTAAAGATCCATATTAGAGGATGTTGGCTTTAACCTTAATCATATAACTCCTTCATAAAGATATCAGGACTTTGTTTCCAGTAGAAATCATTCACTGTTGAAAATACAGACTGCATAACAAAGTATAAGCCACATTTTTCATTCATTTAAATAGCAACTAATTGGATTACAAACTGTTATTGTTAAATTAAAAAAAAGAAAGAAACACAAGCATCAAAGTGTTAACAAGAACCTTTTCCCAGTTACTGGGGCTCAGATACTTATAAGGAGACTGTTATAACAAATCATCAAAACTTTGCAAATTATTATCAGATTTGTGTGCCCACTAAAATTTTGATAGAAGCCAAAGAGAATGAAGGAAACACATGAAATGAAAAAAAATCAACCGCTATATGATTTATTTAACGAATGATTAAAGCAGTCTATTATCTGCCAAATTTTGTATAAATACTAAGGGTAGAGAAAAGAAAGACAGAACTCAGATCCTCAGGGAGTTAAGGGTCTAGTGAGGGAATGCTAAAAGATCCTCAAGGAGTTAAGGGTCTAGTGGGGGAATGCTAAAAATGGACAAAGGACTTAAGATTAAATACGTAAGACTTAAACTTAAGACTTAAGTTTAAATTTTCTCAAGAAAGTAGGACAAGGGTATTTAAGGTACCCAGAATTGTTTACAGCTAGTAGCTCCTAAATCTTCAGAGGCATCATAACTCTAGATAATCAAATGCGTGAGAAATCTGTTCCCTCTGAAAGTCAAGGTCAGAGTCAGGGACTCGGGACTAGGAGAACATGTTATTCTGTGCGGGGAAAAACCCACTAGAATCTGCGATTACTTAGATTCTTGAAGTTTCTTAAGATTTTTGAGGAAAGGTCTTTTGAACTTAGCTTTGTGAATGACACCAAGACTAAAGAATAAAGCATTTTTTAAACCAAGGACCCCTGTTTAGTTTCAGAAGGAAGCCTGAATACTGTAGGCCATAAAGCCCTGTATCCTTTTAAAAAAAATCTAAGTATCATTTACTCATTAAGCCAGGAAAGTTTTATTTTCCAGTTCTTTCATAAGGAATTTTTACCCAGTATGTGTAGAGGAGAAGAGTATCATATTTTTCATGTTGTATAATACAACAAATTGTCTGTGCTTTGGGAGGTGTTTTTTTTGTTGTTGTTTTATTTTGTTTTTGTTTTGTGTTTTTTTTTGTGATGTCACTTCCTCTTAAAATTTACCCGAATGATTTTTAGTGTTTCTAACTTGTTAGAACTCAAGTTTCTAGTTTATACTTCTACATTCCTACCCTGAGTTGAAAGCTATAGCATTTCCTTGAAGGGCAATCAGTATGTAAAATGAGCTGTCCTAGATGACTTGAGATGCCAAGTTAATATAAAATGCCCCAGATGGAATTCAGTGATCACAAAGCTAATTGGTGTTTCAATGTGTTTTTCCAACATACGAAAGTGTCTTAAACAGAGGATACAGACTTTACACAACATGAAATTTGCTTCTAGAACTTAAGTTTTAAAAATAACTTATTTTCCATTTATTAAAAAAATACTAAAGTTTCATGTGGGTTTAGGGTATCCTGGTTAGAAAAATCCTATATTTTGGAGTCACTGTCCTTTTTTGTGTGTTTTCAAATGTAGGAAGTTAAATGTAGAAAACTAAAAACAGTTATACGCAAGAAAAATTTCTAGGCATATTACATTTTTATTTGATTAAAACTGAAGTGACGCAGGTTGATTTATTAAACCAGAACTAACAGTTCCAAACTAATTTGACTAATATCTTAGAAGCAATTTGGAAGCAGTCTACAGCACTAGCCATGCTATAGTTCAGTCGTTTTGGTTCTGGTTCTAATTGGCTAACCCAGGCATGCACAATCTATGGGTAATTTAGTTTCTATGCCACGACACTATTCAGTTATTATTTACAAGTATATTTGTGAATTACCAACAGAATTAGACACAGGGTTTATCAATTTTAATTTCACTTATGATGGCCAAACCGTAGTTTTAATTTCCTTCTGTGAGTGGTTGGACCCATTTTCTGTCCTGTCTTTAGATTAGATATATTTAGACCATTTCTTTTTATGTTAGTACAAAATTCGGACTCATAAAAAATAGCTGCTATATTTATTGACTTCTATCATACTTTGTAAGATTGGTACTATTGTAGTATTCAGATGGGGGCACTGAAACTTAGAGAGGTTGAAAAACTTGCTGCAGTTCACACAGCCAGCCAGGGTACAAGGAAATAACTTTCAGACTCAGGTCTGTCTGATATCAAAACCTGAGGTTCTGTATTTCTATGGAAAGACCATGTTATTTTGCCTTAGGGTGCATGTTGGAGCTTGGCTACTGATTTCTATCATATTTCCTTCTATCAGTAACTTTGAGGAGTATGTTAGGAGTCCTGTACTTATCTGAACTAAGTACCAATGTTAACATTTTTTCTACGTGATAGAATTCCTATAATCACATTGTTCTAGAAATAATAGGAGGGGGACCAACTATTTAGCTTGTCTGTGATGAAATCTGTCTCTGTGCACCCAGACTAGAGAGCATTTTGGCTACAGGACAGAATTTATTCAGAGCAATTATCACCAATATGACAACCCAAGATTATATTATCAAGAAAAATATTTTAGTAGAAAAAGGTAGCAGGTATGCATAACAGGTGTAACTTCTGTGATGATGTGACCATTTATGGTAATACCAAAGGGAGAAAAGATGTTGTAGGTCATTGTGGGGGTGAGGGCAGATGAAATACTAGAAGGCAGATTAAATGGTTTCTAACTATAGTATGTGGCAGTCAGAATTTTGGCCTCATGATTTTTGGCCCTGGTGTTACTCTTATGACTACGTTATGTTCCATGGCAAATAGATTTTGCAGACATAATTAAGGTTACTAATTAGCTGACCTTAAAATAGGAAGATTAGTCTGGTTTATACAGGTGGGCCTACTCTAAGTTATACACGACTCTAAAAACAAACATTTTTCTCCCAATGGTAGCAGAAATTCCAAGCATAAGAAGGGTTTGATGTGCCCTTGATAACTTGGAGATTCAGAGGGCCACACATAAAGGAAACGGGGAACTCAATCCTATAGTCACAAGGAACAGGATCCTGCCAACAGTGTGAATAAGCTTGGAAGTAGAAGCTTCCCCAGAGTCTCCAAAGAGGAGCCCAGCTCACCCAGCGCCTTGATCTCAGCTTGTGTGGTCTTAAGCGGAAGTTCAGCTGAGCCACATGGTGCCTGGACTTCTGACTCATGGAATTGGAAGACAATAAATGGGTCTTATTTTAAGTAATTAAGTCTGTGGTAATTTGTTACAACAGAAATAGAAAACTAATGTAGTACATAATTGATCAATTTTTTTTTCACATGACCCCTGTAGGAATTTTCAAGACAAAAAATATTGCTTATTCTGAATAATGAATAATACCTTAGAATATTTGTCATACTGAATAATTACGTGTTTTGGAGTGGTGCAAAGGAAAACAATCACATTACCAACACGTTTGTAGAATCACAGCATGAACCCTAGTTTAAATCTAGGTGTACATATGATCTCTTCCTCAGGATCTCACTTTAATGGGAAAATTCAATCTTAATAACACCAGAGCATTAGATTGTCTTATTCTTCAAGTCTAACCACTGAATGAATAGTGTGTAATAATAATTACAATAAAATATGTGTATTGCAAGATAGTAATTGTGAGTTGCTAAAAGAAAGGATGTAATGAAAACTAGCTGGATTTAATTTATTGGTTTCTACATGGTTAGTGGATACATGCTTCACCATATAGAACAGCATTTCATGGTGTTAGAAGTAACTGGTTCTAAGGGAAATTAGTAAGGAGTATTTATGATTTAAAAAAAGTAGGTATTGAGTTCAAAATGGAATATGAATTTGGAAATTGGAGATGCAGGGAGTTTTAGTTCCCTTTTATCCTTTGTGTTGCAGATTAATCTCAAAGATATTGGTGAAATCTATAAAATACGTATTGGACACCACAACACTGGAAAGAATCCCAGGTGGTATCTGGAAGAAGTTAGACTTGGAAATATAGCCACAAATGAGCTATTTTGTTTACCTGTTGATTCCTGGATAGCTGAGAATGAAAATGATGGAGATCTATGGAAGGAAATACCCACCATGGGAACTAAGAAAGCACCTTTGCCAGGTATATCATTTCGTTTCCTTTGTGATGTGTATTGAAAATTAAAATAATTGAGATGATTTAGAATAGGGGCTGGCACCTTTTTCTGTAAAGGACCAGATACTAAATATCTCACACTCTGTGTGCTATAAAGTCTCTGCGAAAACTGCTCAACTCTGCCAGTGTAGTGAGGTGGCAGATATAGATAATATGGAAACAAATGACGTGGCTGTGTGCCAATAAAACTTTATGTGTAGACTCTGAAATTGGAGTTTCATATAATGTTTATTTGTTAAAAAATAGTATTCTGGTTTTGATTTTTTTAATCATTAAGAAAAATAAAAAGCATTCTAGCTCCTGGACTGTACAAAAACAAGTGGCTGGCAGATTTGGCCCACGGGCCTCAAGTTGTTTGCCCCCCCGATTTAGAACATTAGACTTTAGGATTAACACCGGTATGTCTGTTCAAAGGTGACCATGGATATCCAAGAATAGATGCGTGTGTTCAGCTCATCTTTCTTTAAGCTGCTTTGCTACCATTTAGATGTGACTTTCTTCTTAGCTAATTATGTTAACAGATGTCAGCAATCATGAACTTTGTAGCACCTGAATTCCCTTACTGTGTATTTTTTCTTTCTTGCTTGAAAGTGAACTTACCCAATGTCTTAATTTTCTCTCTGTCCATTCCCGGTATCTCTAATAACTACCTTCTTTTTGCCTCCACCACTGGAGAGAAAATGTTATTTCTCAATGGATACTGATAGCCTCTTTGTTCAGAATGAAATAACTGTGTATATGTGTGTGTATATATGTGCATGTATGTGTTTGTGTGTATGCATGTGAGTGTTTGAGTGTCTGTGCGTGAATGCTTATATATGTATGTGTTTGACAGAACATATACATGTGGGTATATGCGTATGAGTGCGTGCATGCATGTGACACTATGTGTATGTGTATATGTGTGTGTGCATGTTCCTGTATGCATGTGTGAAAAAGTCTGTGTGTATGAGTGTGTGTGAGTGTTCTTAGTATCCTGAACCTCTCTGCTGTGTTTGATACTGATACTGTTCATGTCTCATTTGAAGAGGCAGAGGTTCTTAGAGGCTCTGGAACCAAGTCTTGGCTTGGTGATGTGATTAGCTAGCCTCCCTTAGCCAACAATGCCTTGTCTGTAAAGTGGTGATAAATAGTGTTTATGCCACAGGATTGTTTTCAGTACATGAGATAATGTATTTATGATATTTAGGATGACGTACTTACAGTATATAGCAGTGTTCCTAGCATACAATAATTCCACAAGAAATACTAGTCATTACTATCATCATCATCATTACGTATCTCTCCTACCTTGACCTTCATCACATGGTACCAGCCTAGTACTTTGTTTCATCCAAGTTTTTCTCTTTATATCACTGGCTCTACTTGGTCATTTTGCCTTGAACAGGTGGGTTTAAATGCTTGATTCTTTGCTCCCCTTTGAGCCTCTCTCTAACTTCTATTGTTAATTCTACACAACAGAATGACACATTTTCTTCTTCAGTCCTGTCTTCTTTCCTGCCTAGAGCCCCAGCACTCCATTAGGTGTTTACCATCCCATCATCTTTAATACCCACTCATTCAACCATTCCACACAGATAAGGGTAAACACATGCCTACAAACAGGTCTCAGGTGGCTGGTGTGAGCCAGGAGTAATGAGCACCAGAGGAAATCCAGATGATTCAGAGAGGGGTCCTATTCTTTAGAAGTCATTCTGTCTTCATGGCCATAGTTATCATCGTCAGTCTAATGACTCCCCTTCTTCTGGCCTCTCATCAGTTTCTTCTTTTCAGTATCCCCTGGAAGTCTTTGCTCAGCATTTCAGTAATTCTTTGAACCCTCCCTGTCCCTGCCCGTTCACCTCCTGCTGATTTCTTCTACAATTACTGGAGGGGCTGGGCTTCTCTCCACCAGCTTCTCATTGATTAGCCTTATATCCCAGCTGGTGCTCCACCCCACATACTCTCAATCTCTGTTAGAATGGCACAGAACACATGGGTACATGCCCCCAGATATTTGTTGATTAATTCAGACACAGCAAGAAATATTTGGGGTAAGTCCTGCTTAATGAAAGGAGAAATGTAGAATAATACTAATGCTTTATATTTGTATATATTTTGACAGTTTGCAAAAACATTCTCTCATATAAAATTTCATTTGACACATCATAAAGCTCCTGATTCTAATAGTTCTTTCTAGCTGTCCTGCAGTCATGTGAAGGTGGCAGTGGTATCCAGGGATGCCCAGAAGATGCTGAAGTGGGAAAAATGAAGGGGTCCTAAAAAATTAAGAATTCTAGTTTCTACCATGCATGTCTCAGGACCTATCTATTCTATTCACCTTGTTGCTAACATGTCAAATTCATTCTACTTTTGAAAAATGATGTTTAAAAAAATGTTGAAGTCCATGGTACTGATAAGAAACAGAAGAACTCTGATGGCGTGCTATACTACATATTTCTTAATTTGTTATGTTTTTAAAGGCTGCATTATTATTATTATTATTATTGAGATAGAGTCTCTCTCTGTCGCCCAGGCTGGAGTGCAGTGGTGCAGTCTCGACTCACTGCAACGTCCACCTCCCGAGTTCAAGCGATTCTCCTGCCCCAGCCTCCTGAGTAGCTGCAATTACAGGCATGAGCTACCTTGCCTGGCTAATTTTTGCATTTTTAGTAGAGATGGGGTTTCACCATGTTGGCCAGGCTGGTCTCGGACCCCTGACCTCAGGTGATCTGCCCAAGGCTGCATTATTTTAAAGTGAACTTTCAACCCTATTAGACAACTCATTTGTATTTCTTTCAGTTGCTTCTATTGGAGCACATTTGTTACATGCAAAAAGGAAAAAAATATGTGGAAGGCAGTTGTATGAGTTTGTTGTTGTTGTTGTTGTTGTTGTTGTTTAATTTGAGGTCCAAGAGAAACTGCATTGTATCTTAAATGAGCTATTGATTTTGGGTCCATTTAACTCGAGCAGCAATAAAGGCTCAGCATGTCTTCCCTGCATCTTTCTGTTCATCCTTCCTCCAAACTAGCTAATGAAACTTTATCCATTAGCATTTCCCATTTAAAGGGGTTAATTTCTTAGCTGAAGTGCACTAGCCATTTCTTAAGGTACTTTCTCCAGCAGAAGAATATAATGTAATAATGATACTTACAGCTAATCAGACGAAGTCTTCTAATTTTTCTCAGGCTCCGCAATATCAATCCAGTTGCCCTTTTCCAAGATTAATCATTAAAATCATTAAAATAAGAAAATGAAAAAAATAATAACACCCCAGTATTCAGGAATTAAACAGAGACCAAAACTCATGGGTGGGCAAGGAGCGGTCTGGGCATACTGAGTACCATCTTTTGGAAAGTCATCTTGGTGCCATCCAGAGGCTCATTTGTTATTCCCATGACATCAAGGAAAGCCCACAGTGGATTCAGACCAATGAACTGATACTTTCTTGGTTTGGCTTTGAGAAGAGAAGGAAGGAAATGTTGACCTTCAATGTTGTGGGATTGTCTGTCCCTCTGTCGTAGCATTCTCTAGCTGGCCACGGGAAAAACACAGGAAGTGATGAGGAGAAACTTTTAAATGATTAAGCTACTGATACTTTTCTTGGAGTTGCCAGGCTGGTAAAGTCCTAGGGATGCTCTCGAGGGTTGGGTACTTTTTAATTTCGTAGCACAGAAAGAGTGGTTTTCCAAGCAGTTGGCACTTACACTCTGAGCCGATTAATTCTGTGACCTTGCCTCTTATTTTCAAAGGATTGCTGGAATGTTTTCAAAAGGAGAGGGTTTTGAGACTACTAGTCTATAAGTCATCATGCTTTGGGGGCTGAGCTAGATTGCTGGTGGATTATAGTCATCTCCTCCCAGAGGCCAGCACTGCCAAGTGCAGCTTGTTTCATGTCTTTCTCTGATTTATTCACCATCCGCGGTGTTGGTGGGGAGCAGCCCGGAGGAGATGCCTATTGCCCTTGGCTTCTTGTCCTTAAGAGTCTTTAGTTAACGGCCTGGCAGGGATGCTTAAGGCTGATAAGAATGCTGACTCAGCTTGAGGTGGCTTTGCCTCACGTTCTGGCTCCAGGCTCTCTCCAGGAGAGATGGATGATAAAGGAAGGTGAGGTTCGAGGCCCCATCTATGGGTGAAGAAATGTTTGATGCCAGCCTTTGGCAAGTGGTCAGAAGGGCTTTACTTCAAATCAAGAAATAACCATCTAAGAATGTATTAAAGTACCATCATATTTGAAATATGCCTGTTTCAAAATATTTGCATTTATGAAACTTGAAGTCATGAGAAAATAAGCTGAAATGCCTGCTGACAACCTATAGCAAGTTTTAGATAACAACTGAGCTAAATTTAAAAAAAAAGGACAAGCTTTCTTTAATGCTTTAGCCTTTATCACAGTACTCGTCAATATGTGAGGGGAAAACATGGGCTTCAGAATGATTCAGACCTTTTCGTCCACAAGAGGACTGTAGTTCAGATACACAGCATCTGGCCTCAAATCCAGGTCTCCATCACTGACTATGTGAATTGGGGCAAGTGGCCAGGTTTTCTGAGTTTCTGTTACTTTCTTTGTGAAATGGGAAATATAACATCTATTACCAGAATGGTTTCCATTTAATTCACCATCTGAACCAGGACTTTTTTTGAGAGTGAAGAAGGGCTCTGAATCATTATTTCAGGACAGCAGTGTCAGTGGTGACCTTTTTAGGCAAACCCAGGCCATGAGCCTCCTGTGGGGTTTCCACCAGGAGCGCAGCAGAGCAGCGCAATGGGTGCCCATCATAGAGGAGGCACTCAGTACGCTAAAATCATTCATTCCCCTCCTTCCTTCGCAGCATTTAGCTGCTATCATGGGAACACTGGTATCACAAAGAGCGCTTTGGGATTAGTACATGCTGTTCTCAACCCCATTGACAGAGTGACCCTCTTAAAATGTCAATCAGATTATGTCATTCCTTTGCTTACAACCCTCCAAAGATTTTCTAACTTA